GGACTGTCGTTCGGTCTTTTTCGGTTCACGAGGAGGAGCTAGACGCTGAGGTAACTCGAGCGCGGGGCCTCAGATGACCTTTCCAAGGAAGTCTGGGAGTCTGGGAGAAGACGATCGCAGAAGTGTCCAGAGGCTGGCTCAAAGGCCCGATGGAGTTAGACGACCAGGAGGCTCCAGAACTGTTCTCAAATCGATGCGGAGTTCGCCAGAAGGAGAATGTGAGATGTGTGGACGACATGTCAGCGAGCATGGTAAATGCCACCACCCTCGCCGAAGAAAGAATCTCCCTCCACTCTGCGGATGTCATGGCGACAGCAGTCGTTGAGTGGTGTAAGGCCAGAGACGAAGCGAGAAAGCCCAGGGACCTCACAGCCAAGAGCTTCGATTTAAAGTGGGCCTTCAAGCAAATGGCTGTCTCTGCTAAGGCGAGGAAGAAGGCCGGTCTGGTCATCAAGGATCCTAGTGGCCGACCCAAGGTCTTCACTTCCTTGGCGCTCCCTTTCAGAGCGACCGAGTGTTTACGCCTTTAATAGGCTTAGCAGATGTCTATGGACCCTGGGTGTTCTAGGATTGCAACTCTTCTGGACGGTTTTCTTTGACGATTACTGGCTCTTCTCGGAGCCCACTCTGGAAAAGAGTTCGGACCTTGCGGCCAGATCCCTGTTCGACTTGTTAGGATGGGTGTATAACACATCGGGGGAGAAGCACACGGTTTTCGGGCGGACTCTGCACGCCCTGGGAATTGTGGTTGACCTTCGGCTGCTTTCCAGAGGATCCTTGATCATTGGGAACACGGAATCGAGGATCAAAGAGCTGGTGTCTGAGATCTCAACGATCATAGACCAAGGAAGGATCTCCCGCTCAAAGGCCCGCCGTATGGCAGGTCGCATGAGTTTCGCGAGTGGTCAGATTTTCGGAAGAGTTTCGAAATCGTGCTTGAAAGCCTTCTACTCTGTGCTTGAGAGGAGCCACACCGAACTCGATCCAGGAACATTGGCGGCTCTCAAGATGTACATCGAAGTCGCTCAGCATGCTCCCGCCAGGACCATAATGCTAGGTGAGAGACCATGCGTGTTCATGTATACCCGATTTGTAGCCTTTGGCGCAATGCGAACTTATTGCGCCAAGTGTTTGGCCATTTGGAAAGGCAAAAACGTGCATCCCCAAAAGGAAGCTCCAGGCATCTCGGCCACATGGTAGGCTAGCTGGGGTCCCGAAATCCCGCGCCAGTTGTGAAGTGTTTTTTTTTTTGTGGGGCCGGCTCGGGGTGGCGGCCGGCGGCGCCACCATTGTTGGCGCAGTATGGGTTTGGGGGACGCCGGCATTGTTGACGCATCATGTGTTCGCGAGATGCATGCACTACTGGCGCAATAAAACATGAAAAACTGTTCCCCAGTGGCACCCCACTCATGGCACAAACCATGAGCCCGTTTTTTCGTTTTGTAGTGAGACATTGACTTGTATACCCTAGTAATGAACAATATGTTGCGACGGTAGTGTTCTCTGCGTTTGGACTCAAAGCTCGGAGAAGCCTTGTACAGCGAACCTCCAAATGGTTCCCTCACACTAGCAACCGACCGATCAATCGGGAGAAGGTGGAGTAAGAGCATGTGTGTCATAGTTTCGCATTGTCTTGGAGGATTCCCCATCCCCAATCTTCCCGCTCTGCTCCAGGCCGCGACTCCTGGCGCAATCGTGCCTCGCCGGCGGGCGGCTCGGATTCGGTGTGTGGAAGTGGTTCTCTGCGTTTGGACTCGCAGCTCGGAGAAGCCTGTACAGCGAGCGTCCAAATGCCTCTCGTTGGCCCGAGGATGCTCGTTGCCACGGTGGATTCGCAGTGAGCCGCGCAAGCTTTGGAGCGGAGGTTTCCGACGAAGGAAAAGGCCTTGTTTGCTACGTCAATGGTTTAACTTGTAAGGTTTGCACACTGTGGTGGTCACTCCTGGCGCAACCCTGCAAACACCGTCCCATCTTTTGCTTAGATATGCACATATATATATATACATATATATATATGTATATATATATATACATATATATATATATACATATATATATATACATATATATATATATATGCGCGGCACTCGTGGCCCAATCGTCCGGGACCTTGCCGGGGCCACAAGAAAAAGGTGGAGTGTGACTTACATATCACATATATGTATATACATCTTTGCGTTGCTTTTTAATTTGAAGGTGAACCTTCGTGCTCCGAAGTGGTTCATTGGTTGACGGAGGACATCCCCACTTCTAACGTCGCAAAAAGGCCCGATTGCGAAATGAAACCAGTCTTGCATGTCGATCGGGCTCGCAAGATTAGTAAGCTGGAAACAGTGCGCCAGTTGTGAAGGGTTCATGTCGGTATGTTTTTGCGAGATTTGGGACGCGTTGTGCCAGTTGCGATCCCACTTGGACGTTTTTTTTGGTGTGTTGCGCCAGTTGTGGTGGCCAAGCGGCCAGTTTTATGCAACCTACGAGGTTGCATAAAATCGCGGTGTTGTGGACAGCGTGATGGCCTATCCTCAGTGTTGCGCCAGTTGCGGACGTCCCAGGTAGTGCGGCATGCCAGTTGCAAAGGAAATTTAATTAGTCCGAGTTGCGCCCAAGAGTTGCAAATCAGGTATACACCGATGCTTCTTTGGAGCCCACCAAGAATGGCAACGTCGCTGGCTGAGGGGGAGTTCTCTGTGGCCCAGCGGGCCAACCGGTGGCCTTCTTCTCATCATTTCCCACTGGGGAGGAGCTAGAAGCCATTGGAATCGACATCAAATCCAAGTGTATTCTTCTCTTCGAACTCGCCTCAGTTTGCCTCGCATTCAAGACCTGGGAGAAACGCTGAAGGGAATGAGAGTTGTCTGCTATTGTGATAACGAAGGGGCAGAGTCTTGCCTGATGACCGGAGCGAGCTCCAACAAAACCGCCAACGACTTGCTAAGGATCCAGGCAGCGAAGGAGCTTAAGACCGGGATAGTCCCTTGGATTGCAAGAGTCCCCTCCAAATCTACCAATGGAGGAGCTTCCAGGATTCCCTGAAGCAAAGAAATCGGCAGTCAGCATCGGCTCCTTAACAGAAGGTGAGAACGCCCTCGGCTTCCCGTAAACCGTAGCTTGCTCTGCCGAAGAGAGCAGGACCGCAACGACACCACAGGGATGGATTTCGATATTCCCCATGTGGAAAAAGAGTGGTGCGTTGTCTCGAGTGCTGCGTGCAGGAGAGAGTTGCATGTCTTGAAGTTTTCATACATTCTATAGATTCTATTGATTTGAAACTGAGTTTGTAGTTTGGCTCGAAATTTTCTGCCGGTCCTTCGAAAGATAAGCTTACGTGCGAGGAACGAGTTAGTGTTTTATCTTGAGTTAGGAAAACAAACTTACGAAAGTTTGTTTGGGCAGAACATGTGTGAGTTTTGTATTCGCACTGAACCATTGCTCAAGCTGAAGCGGGCAGAAAATTTCGAGAACCCACCCACCCGCGCCTCTCTACTAAGGATGAGCTCCGCGTCGGAAGTTCTACGCACACCAGAAGTATGGTGTCGCGTCAATCTACACATCACATCTGCTCGACACAAGCCGCTTGGAGCCGCGTCTAAGTCTAAGGCATGCCAGACTCTTTTCTTGAAGTGGTTTTTGCACCCTGTCGGTTTTACCGACAGCAGTGAGTACGAGCCGGAGTCTGACGACTTGTCCGTTGCTCAGACCTTACTGCCACGACTTAAGCGCCAGAGAGGGTGAACTTTTTTCTTTCTGCACTTTGCGCCCTTGCAGGACGTTAACTGAGGTTGAACCGCTGAGAAGGGGAGGGGAGAACGCCCTCCACTTCCCGTAAACCGTAGCTTGCTCTGCCGAAGAGAGCAGGACCGCAACGACACCGCAAGGATGGATTTCGATATTCCCCATCTGGAAAAAGAGTGGTGCGTTGTCTCGAGTGCTGCATGCAGGGGAGAGTTGCATGTCTTGAAGTTTTCATACATTCTATAGATTCTATTGATTTGAAACTGAGTTTGTAGTTTGGCTCGAAATTTTCTGCCGGTTTTGAAAGATAACCCCCATACCGTGCATGGCTTCATGAATCAAAGCCATGTTTGACTGCTGACCAGAATCACTTTCCCACTGTTCAATCCTAGCAATCAAATCAAGGGCCACCTGACGATCTACTCTAGGACATCCGTCTTGCACCACCACTGGGACTCGGCCCAAAGTACGATGCACTACAGTGCAAGCTTTCTGACGCCGTGCCACATGAAATCCAAGGCGTACCAACTTAGACATGGACACGATAGGCTCACTCTCAGCTGAACCAATCAAGGTACCAAAGGCGGACACACCCATGTAAGTTTCACCCTCTGCAAGCGCAACCTTGCGCCATTCTACCGGCTCTTCACCGTCCCGTCTGGGACGCACACACAACGTAGCGCCTGAATCCAACAGTCCAGTCAACTTCCCACTTTGAGGTTTAGAGTACGGGAGACCCTCAAGACTAGGGCAAACTCCTACAGCGATAGTCTTAACCGACGCAGCCGATGATGATTGGGTGAGCTGCTTGATGGCAGCCGTTACTTCCCGAAACATGTCCTGTCTTGCAGTATCTTCAGCCTTTGCAACGGTTTCCGTGGTATCGGCAGCCATCCCTGAGTCACTCTCGGGTTGCTCCTCACAGCGTTTCTTCCCACCCTTGGGGCCCTTCCCTTTACTCCCCCCTTCCCCAGCACCAGCGCTACCCTTACTCCGGTATGGACACGCATCCTTGAAGTGTTCAGTGGATGAGCACGAGAAACACCGTTTGTCCCCCTTTCCAAGTGGTGAATGAGCAAACGTGCAGCTGCCAGCAAAACGACAACCGACAGGAGTCAACCAATGCTTGCACGCCGCCTTGGCCTTGGCCTTTGGTTTGCCCTTTGGGGGCTCAGTGGTATCCTCAAGCTTTGCCGCTTTAGTGCCTTTTGCAACACCGGTGTCCAAAACCTCCAACTCAGCCTGGAGCATCTCAGCTAATGCACAAACCTTTCGTGATGTAGGAACCATGTCAATGTTTTGCGAATACCGAAAAGATGAGTTTCTGGAAACTTGCTCAGCGCTTTACTGGTAAGGAGGTCCAAGCCTGCCAGAAGCAATGTGGAATCCGGCAATGAGACCTGTAGGTCTTCTGCCCTGCGATACCACCTAGCCCATCTTTTCAAATGCTTAAGTGCCACACTCACCTCGGAAGACGATTCTGGTGTGGTGAGAAACCGCAACAACGCCGAACATTCCTTTAACCCACCCGGCTGATAAGTACAAAAGATCTTCGCAACAGCATCGATGCAAGACATCCGCTGGGTGCTCACCAGTTCCTCCTTCAAGGAGTTGGGAATGGCCTTGAGTATCAGGTGCAGTCCTCGTTGTTCCACACGAGAGAACCGTGTTCCTTCGAACCGATGAGGGTGATCGGGCCTAAGGGAAAGCCTTTCAACTGGGGTTGAGGTTAGCCAACGCTGATAATGATCAGTTGATGCTTGCAGCACTTGCTTCCACCATTCGGCACTGTTTGGACTTAAATCCTTCATGACCGGACCTGCTAAAGTGAGCCAGTCGCCAGCTAGAAGAGGTGAGACATCCTTATCCCCATCATTAATCACCAACTGCTGAAGCTCAGCCGTAGAAGTCTTCACCTCCTCAGCTCTTCCATCATGTTCTCCACTGTGCGATGCAAAGACTCGTTTCAGCCCATTGTAGAACCAGTCAAAACCATCGCGCCCCTCAGATCTCCCTCCGATGGTGCCCTGTCCACCACTCTCATCATTCGCAAAAGAATCGCCCTCAACCCTCAAACCAGTTCCTCGCATTTCGCTCGGAACTTCCGGTGGCGCGGGCAATGACGGTAACCTTCTAGGCTGGCAGACCAGGGATATGGGGGTGACCCTCCAGGAACCGGCGCCTTTACATTAGGAGACTTGGGAGCTGCTGCAATCGGCGGTGGCCGGATTTCAGTGCCACCTGGAGATATGGGATAAACAATCGTTGGCTTGATCACCTTGGGGGTCCTTTCACCAGGAGCCTGTGGCACCTCGGGCGCAGCAGCCACTACCGCATGAGAGCATGGATTATGCGTGGGATCCGATGTCGAAGCGGCCAATGACCTCAGAGCTCGCTTTGATGGTACAGGACTTTCAAACATCCCCTTACGCCTAACCGGGCTGCCACTCCTTGACCTCAGAGGCCGACTCCCTGCAGATTGCGGCCTGGCCATAGGAGGATGAACAGACTGAAAAGGGGACAAAGCTCTCGAAGCAAAGACGTTGGTTTGGGATTTAGGTCTCGTGATAAGCTCAAGTTGCAAGCCCTCCGGCCTTAAGCGCCAGGCGTGTTCAATTCCCGACACCATCACCACTCCAGACCTCTCTTCCCGAGACCCCCGCTTGGACCAGCTCCCCCGGATGCACCAGCTGTCATTTCAGACTGAGGGTTACGGGTATCATCCACACTGGACGGCTGATGTTGCGATGCCTGCTCTACCCTACCCTCTACCGTTGCTCTTGAAGCTACCACTTGTCTTTCCGATGCTACCGACTCGACTCCCAGACTCATCATCTTCTGGAAATCCCCAGCCAAAGCATCTTGACCCAATGTTGTAGCCTCAATGGTGGTATGTGGTGCAGTCCTCTCTGCGCTTTGCCTCGCCTCCATAGCTTCTAATCGATCCATGAGTTGCCCCAGCAATGGAGTCACCTGACTCTGGAAGATACTCAAAACCTGTCGTTGCACCACAGCTTCCACCGTCAACCCTTGTGCAGGGTTGAGCCTTACCTCACCGCCAGGCTCATCAACGTCCATAGCAGCAGAGTGAGTGGTGCATCTCCCTACCCGCTGGGTGTCTTCCATGCCCTGGGACCCTTGTGGATACGAGCCACTCCCCTCAGGAACAACCGGCATGCTAGCATAATCCGGAACCAGCTCATCTTCGTCTGGATCCCACTTTGCTGCCACACCTCCACCCTCCATTCGCGACACTCACTATGACCAGGTGATGCTGGAGTCGCAGCTCTTGCTATCTGTACCGGTGCGGGTTGATCACCTATTGGGTTTGTCACTTGCTCTTGACCACCTCTGGCGGACTCCTCACCCTGTGATGCCAAAGCTTCTGCATAACTCGGTTCTGGGGCATCATCGCTTACGCCACCAAGTAGCAAAGGATCCACAGCCGAAACTTCAGAGTGCAGCGTTTGCGTAACCGACTCTCCCCAACTACCAGCAGCAGCAGCAGCAGGCGATTCAGGGTTGTTTTCCATAGCGGCACAGGATTAGAGCGTTGGGCTCATAACCCTTGTGAGGGTCAGAGCACGCTTCTTTTAGGCGCAAGCACCCAAGATCATACGAAGATACACTACAGCGAAAGTGACAGAAAGCTACTGTATACTGTACAAACTTTCACTCTGAACATGCTACTTCGGATACTGCTCGGATGTACTTCTTGATTTGTGTGTGTGTCATCCTTGCGCAGGGGTCATGCCTGGGAGCCTGTCGTGCCTGCATGATCCTGCGCAGCACTGCTGCCACCACCACTTGGCAGCACAAAGTCGCGTACCTGAGCAGGCTCAGGTCCCATCGTTCACGCTGGCATAATACTTCGTACGTTGGCAGCAGCTGGGGGACTATTATTGGAGGATTGGATGTTGAGTCCTACCAATTGACTGTGGATCAATTGAACTCCTGCATGCTGTTCCAGAGCCATTGGAAACTGGGACAATTGTGCTCATTGCTCTCCATCCATTGTTATTCTGGAGCATTGCCTCGAGTGGCGGCGCATCGACACACAATGGTCCCGTATTGGGCCATTGCTGCCATGCCTTCCAAGATTCAGACATTGGCTCACAATGGAGAGGAGATTGACGAAGTGATTGAGCAAGGGGAGCCAATTGCTCCTAGGACAGCGATTGAAGTCGTTGTTCCCAACAATGTCGACGTGAACATTCGTCGAGGATGATGACATTGAGGTCATTGACATTGCTCTCGCCAAAAGTTTTCTGCATTGGCCTGTATTGGTCAGTTCTTTTTTGGAATTTATTCATTGAGTCACTACTGCGACACACTGCTGATTCAACCTTTGCTTCACGTACCGAAGGCATTGCCGGGATGATGGTGAACAGCATTGGTGTACAGATTGGATTGAGCCAGTGAACGCAAAAGTTTCTTCAGCATTGAGCCGATTTGCATTAGGAGTGATTGCGCAGGTGCGTACAGCATTGTTTCGTTTGAGTCGATTTTCGAATTGCTTGACTTTATACATTGGTCTTGGAATGATATGATTTCCTAAAGATGTGGCCATTGCACAAAGCGCATTGGCCAAGGAACCGTGTTAGAGT